CCTCAGAGGAAAGTCACATCTGACTCCAAAGGGCTGCTGCTGATCAGCCACACTGGGAAAGGCCTGGAGACGCTCTCCTATTCTGCTAGACAATCAGACAGTGAAAGAAACATTAAAAATAGAAGGTGCTGTGAAACAAAAACTAGGAAAGGCACATGTAAGGCACGGGAAGAGGAACACGGGGAACCCACGGAAAAAGTGCAACGTAATTGTGTCCACAGAACTTGCTTTCCCAAAGATGTACCATGCCCACCCTGCTCGGTTCCTGCTGTGGGCAGTGTTCAGCAAAGGGATGGTACAGCCCAACATTCACCCTCTCTCTAAAGGACTGCAATTCGTCTTTCAACACTATTTCCCTCTGGCCCAAGCGGCAGACTCCACAGCAGTCACTGCATCTCCTCGGACACGTCCGTGTCCTCCATCAGGCCCGTGGACGGCCGTACCGAGCCCTGAGGAGCACTCGGAGCCGCTGCCGGCCCGGCCCTCACAGACCCCACAGCCGCCCGCCCCCGGGCCGCTCCTCCCGCTGCCCTCGGGCTCACCATCTCCCGGTCGCGGCTGCTGCCCTTCTCACCGGAGCCACAGGAACGTCTCTGGCCGGTAACGGAGGTCCCACCGCCCAGCACCGACAGCGACCCGTAATGGCGACCAGACGCCGACAGCAGTGGCCGGAACCCGGATGTGGAGCCGGGCCTGGGGCACCACGGGAGTCGTAGTCCCCGCCCGCCGCGCAGACTGCCGGGAGATGTAGTCCCCGGGGAGCCCGCACCGCCCCCGACCGGCAGGGAAGGCTCGGGCCGCCCCCCGGCAGCCAGACCCGCACCGGGCCCCGCCTCAGCCCCCGCCCGCATAGCACAAAGCGGCCAGAAATAACGACCCGGCAGCGGGGGGCAGATCTCATCCTTTATTTCCAGAGCGGCTCTCCAAGGGGCAGCAGCAAAGAAACAAACAGCTCGGGTTTGGGGCTCGTCCGAAAACGCAAGAGGGGAAATTATATAAAAAAAACAAACCAGAAGAATACGAGAGGTTTGGAACAGAAAACTAAACACCATCAGTACTTACACAGCACAAGCAGTAACTGGGCAATACTGTAGATGGCTATAAAACTCTCAAAGGCAAAACTGCTCCCACAGCTCTACTAGCAAAGAAGCAGCCTTCTGAAAAAAAAAAATAAATACAAGGAAGACTTTTTTTTTTGGCATTTTTCCTTTTTATATCCACATTGTAACATCATCTGCTATAGCATAATCCCTGCCATCACCCTTGAAGATCAAGGCCTGCGTCCTCGGGAAGGCTGCAGTAACTTAGTCAGAGGAGCCAGCACGCAGCCCTGCGACGGGTGCGAGTGTCAGTAACAGTCCCTGGCTCTAACCAGACTTGAAGAGGAGAATGGCGACTTGGCCGAGGTAGAAGTAGATGAAGTGCTTGGTCTCGTGAGTCACGTAGCTGCCAAAGTTCCTTCCCACGATGCAGTGCCAAGTGGGGTTGTATTTCTTGTCAAACTCCTGCAAAACAGATCACTAGAAATTAAGAACTCTTCTAAACAGATACTCACTTTCTGAGCGAGGCAATTAGAGGAAGAGCAGATGCTCCTAAGTACTAGGATTATCTTATTTACATCTTATTGTTCACCTGCTGCTTAGTCAGACAAAAGACAAAATCCACCAAAAAGAGCCACGGTGCTTCCCATCTAGCAGTACTAAGTTTAAAACATTACCTTTGTTCGGGGAAAGTAATCTTTCTCCCTCCAAAATTCATGCCATGATCTGAAACTATAGCCCTCAAATAAAAGCTAGTAAAAACTAGCCCTGCTAGTTTTATACCCAGAGAGATTATTAAACCATAATTTAGACTTCATTGTTCATCTGCAACATGGGTGCTAAAGAGACTAAGTGGAAAATTCTCTGCCACGCGCTCTGTAACACCAGCACTATCATCACATTAAGAATTTGTATTTTACAAATTTCAAACAGTCCTCTACAATTCCCAGTAGTTGCTACAAACAGTACCTGAAAAATACTAGACTAAACCCTCTTTTCCACTGCCATAGATACTTCCCTGCATCTGGGGAAAAAATGCCTCTCTGTATTGCAGGCACAGCAAACCAATATTCCTCTAGTGGAAGCAATCATTCTGCTTAGTTGAATTACTTTTTAAACAGCTCTTCCACTCAGATCAGTTTAACTTCCATTGACACTCTTTGATTTCTCCATTCTCCTGAGTTGACGAAGCAGGAAATATAATCAGAACTAGATCTTTCCCATGTTCAGTATTGTTAATCCTACAGAAATAGTGACACAGACTTTGCAAACAACAGAGAATCAGTGCCACCAGGACTTTTTTTGTGGTTTGTCGGCTATTTTTTGGTTCAGGTTTTTTTGTGTTGTTTTTCAGACTTGCAGAAAACTACTTTTCCCTGCAACTTTTGCCCCAGCTGGACAGAACTGTAAACAGATGCTCAAGATTAGGTACAATAAAACTGAAACCAAGGACTATGTAAAACAGGCTTTCTCCCAGAGGAAAACCATAGGAGAGCTCAATAGAGCCCCTGTGTTTTGCAGCAGCCCATCAGTGACGGGGACAGTCAGCTGCTCTCCTGGACAATGGCACAGTGGCAGGAAAGCCTTAAGCAGAAGGTACCGCAAGAGAAAAGCGGAACAAGCTGGAAAAGTCCATGAAAAGGGTGGGGAAAGGAACATAAGGACATCAGCCTACAGAAAAAGCCTGACTTGATTATCTAGTGTCTCTAGAACTTGTTTCTCTAGAGCTACTTGCCCAGCAGCATTCTCTCTACTTCGTTTTTCATGTGCATAGAGATTTCACAAAGACACTACAAGGAAACTTTTACCTTCTTTATGTGAGCAGCAATGTCCTTCTCGATGTTGTACTTCTCCAAGGCCTGAGTTGCACACTCCACAGCATCTTGCTGCATCTCCTCTGACATGTCCGCATTCTTGATCACTGCCTTTCGGTCACTCATGATTGCCTGCATTGAGTGAAGAAGAGAATTCGAGGTTGGGGGAGCAGCCACCTGCCCGGTGCTCGCCCAGGTACCGCCGTTCACAGCCCGGTCACGGTGCCCACACCCAGGGCTGGGCAGCGCTTGGCCGGTGGGGCTACAGGCACGGCCTGGGCTCGGCGCCGGGGAACGGCGCTCACACGGTGGCGACACGAACACCGACGGAGCGGTCTCGAACCCCGCCGCCTCCCAGCCCCGCTCCAGGTCGGCGCAGCCCCAGAGAGGCACCGCCGCTCCAGCGCCCGACCCCGACGGCCCTTCCCCACTGAGGGAGGCGAACGAAGTCCGGAGCCCCCCAAACTCGGAGCCAGCGCGGCTACCGGCAAGCCTCCCGCCTGCAGCTCCCAGGGATGAGGGAAAGGCGCAGGCGTCCACCAGAGACAGACCCTGGCACAGGGGCGCCGCCAGGGCACCCGGGCACAGACTGCCCAGCCTCAGCCTTCCCTGTGCCGAGTGGGACCCGGCCCCTTCTCGGGAACTGCCCCCCCCCAGCGTCCCAGACCCTCACGCCGCTCCCCTCACCACTTTGGCGGGCGCCGCGGGACCGGCCCTGTGTGGAACGGAGCGGGCGGGGCGCAAGGAAAGGCGTACGCGCAGCTCGCTCCGCCGCCGCGTCCGTTTAACCGACCCGCCCGCGCCGCCGTCGCCAGCAAGCGCCCCCAGCCCCGCCCCCTCCGCACTGGCCTCCGCCCATTGGTCACCGCCACCACCCCCCCGAGTGCTGATTGGTCAGAATCCGGCGCTCTCGTAGCATTTTACTGCAGCAGTTTCTTTCAGACCGGCATGCCCCGCGCCCGTTGCCATAGCGACGATGGCAACGGTGATGGAGGCCGAACCCCGCGCTTGGCCGGAGCGCAGGCCTCAGGGGCGGCCTTGGGCCCCTCAGGGCCTCTGCTGGGGCGGGCCCGGGGCATGGCGCTTCCTCAGCGCCCCCTCAGCGCCCTGCTTGCGGGTGTGCCTTGGGCTGGGTGCTCTCAGGCGGCGCGCAGACTTTGCTCGGCTTTCCTGTGTTTTCCTCGTGCCTGAGGTGCCTGAATGTGGCCGGTCACTTTTCTGGTAGGCAAAGATCATCTCTCGCTATAGCTAAGGCAGGCAATAGAAAAAAAAAAACCAAAAACAACCAAACCCAAACAACACATGTGGTGCTTTGCAAGGCAAGGCATCCCGTTGCAAAGAAAATAGAGCAAAAAAAATTTAAGGTTGTATTTAATTCTGCAGATAAGATATGAGAAAATCGTGTAGGGCCTGATGATGGGGCTAATAAGTGTCAGCATGGAAGGAAGTTCTTGGCAAGGGAGAGCTACTGGTGCTGGGGAATTCCTTGGGTGTGATGTCATCTCTCACGAGAAAGGGTGAAGTAACTTGTATTTACAGAGCTGACAGAATTTCCGGATGATTCAAATAATGTGATAAGCGGGGCAGTTTTAGCAAAAGTAGCAGAAAAGGTCCCTTATTTGTACTAATGTTCCTGACAGGAATCAGAGGGGACCTTTTTCTCATCCCCTGGCTTTATCAGCACCCACAAACTAACCTTCCCCCTGATCCTCATCAGGCTTTACTTTCACCAAGAAACTGCAAAATTAAAAATCTGAAGGGGTTAGGGAGAATTATTTGAAAAATTACTCAAATACGCTGTGGTGGGTTTGGGGTTTTTTAGGTTAGCTTGTTTTTTTTTCCCGTTATGTATCAAATCCCCGGGACGGCTTCAGCCGCGGTGACACCGGCACAGCCGCGGGGTGTCCCCCCCGTGGGCTTCAAAGCTGCGGGGCCTGCGTTTCCCCGGGGCCGAGCGCGGAGCCGCCCCGCGCCCCGCCCCGGTACGGCGGTTGGCGGAGCCCAGGGGCCCCGCGGCGGCGGCGGGCGGGAGGGGAGGTCGTGCCCTTGCAAGATGGCGGCGGCGGGGCTGTGCCCGTGCCGGGCGCTGCTCGCCCGCCGCGGCGGTGCTTTGCGGGCCCTCTGCGGCTCCGTGCGGGGCCTGGCCGCCGGCCCGGAGACGCACTTCGGCTTCCAGACGGTGACCGAAGAGGAGAGGCGGGAGAAAAGTGAGGGAGGCGGTGGGGCCCGCGGTGGAGCCGGGGGAAGGAGGGTGGGCCGGGGGGGGATGGGGCCGAACGGGGCTCCCGGGCAGCCGGCGGCCACCGGGGATGTGGGGGCGAAGGAGTGCTGGAGGTGTCTGTGGAGCTGAACCGCTGGTTTGAGACCTTATGAGGACTCGCGGTGAAGACTATCAGTGTTATGCCAGGTCGGTTCTTCCCCTCGGCTCCGTAAGAGACTACGGGAAGAGATTTATTTCTCCAAAGAGACTGTTTGTCCGGCAACAGGCTCGGCAGGATTCGATCACGTTTTTTGTAAGGAGTTTTCAGGTAGTATTTTTCAGTTCCACATGGTGGCAGACCTCCACGAGGCAATAAAGGACACGTTTTACTTCCACAGGAGCGTTTTAAAGTAAATTGCATTTAGTTATCATGTCATTTCTTTGCAGTTTATCAGGTCTTTGAAAGTGTGGCCAAGAAATACGATGTAATGAACGATTCAATGACTCTCGGGATTCATCGAGTGTGGAAGGATATCCTCGTGCATAAAATGAACCCTTCCCCAGGAACGCTTCTTCTTGATGTTGCTGGAGGAACAGGTAAATAATTTTGGTGAGTTCCACATCACAGTGCCACACTGGTTTTGAACTGTTTGAGTCTGCTCAGAATTAAATTGCCTAGCCTATTTCTTGTTTTTCTTCCTCTCGGTTCTCTGTCTTTAAAACCGTAGACACATCTACTTGATTTTCACAGAGAAGGGTTGAGAGCTAACTTCTTTGTGTTTTGTAATATCTTGCTCTGAGGCTCTGCAACAGTGCTGCCATGATATGTTATAGAAAACTGTTTCCTATTGTAGAGAGTCATGGACTCTTTGCTTTTAATATGTTCCCTTTATGTATTTTTGTATATATACACACTCCGTGTCTCTCTATACTGTGTGTGGGTTTTATTTATCTATGTATATATAAAAACTTAACTCAGTTTGACATTCAAAGCTTTATGTTCCAATTTCTTGGAGTTAGAAAACATTCTAAAACACTTATCTGTCTTTTAAAACAAATGCAGGTGACATCGCCTTTCGATTTATTAATTACGTTCGCTCTGTACGAGAGCGCCAGCTCCAGCGGAAGCTTAGGCACCATCAGAACTTATCGTGGCAGGAAATTGCTGAAAGTTACCAGGAAGACAGATCTAAGTCGCTAGGGGATTCCCAAGTGGTGGTCTGTGACATTAACAAAGAGATGTTAAAAGTTGGGAAGCAGAAAGCACAGCATCTCGGCTATACCGAAGGTAAGTCGTGCATTGTACCATTTCAGTAGCATGCCTGGTAGCAAGAATTTGATGCATGATGGCCATCAGGTAGTCACCACTTCAGGATTACAATATACATTATATAGCCATGGTGTATACTATAGCTGTGCTTGCATATTTGCCGCTGCTGAGTTACTTTGTCAGTGAGTGTGTATGTAGTATGTTATTCAGATGTGCAGTGATCCTCTTGAATAATACTTGAACTTTCAGAAATACATACATGGAAGTGTCCTTGAGGTCTGAAACCCAGCTATCCTTCAAAATTGGTTAAATAACCTAAACTTGCTGTTTATATCTGTGCAAATGAATCTGATTTTACCAAGGCAAATAATGTAAAAGAGCTCAACCCTGGAGTGATTATACTGAAGATCTTATAATGGGTATTTAAAGAATCAAGGCAGCAAATTAAAAACTGCCAAGAACTAATGTGTATTCTGAACCTATAAAACTTTCCACAGTTACAACATATGCTAATAATACTCAGAGAAACTGAATTATATTAAATGTTAGTTTGCAGGTCAATGGATTAATTCACTGATATCTAGAATTTGTTGGGGACCACGCCAATCCTGATTGAAAAGCCTGATTTTAAGAAGTAAGACATAGAGAAAGAAGTCCTGCTTGTGGCTCAGCGTTTGTATGATAGTTGTTTGTCCTCTCTTCATTTATGGATATTTGGCAAATATTTTAGCAACGTAAAGTATACCAAGAGGTTCCCAAACTTTTTTTGCCTGGGTGCCACCATTAGGTATGCCCTGGGCAGCCTCTCCATTTGTGTTACAAGGTCTCCTGCATGTCCTTTCACTGCACCCTGCTCCCACACCCTGTCGGGACTTCAGCCTACAGATTGTGTAGGCTGAAGGGCATACAGAACAGCTCGGTAACACAAAGGGGCTGAAAGATAAGCTGCTGGCACAGGTTCTCGCAGCTGCTATTCCTCCCTGCTGGTGGGTTACCCCAAGGCTGTTGCCTGCCTGCCTCTTCCTTTTCTTTAAAATACAAACTAATTGTGAAAGCGTTGGTTCTTCCAGCTCTGGCAGACTGCTTGCATCGTGCTTATCTGAGCAGCTTGCAAGCCTGTCCAGAGCTTTTTTTATGCATTATAGTTTGGGAACACCTGAACTGTACCAACGTTGTAAATATAGAACCTTTATGACTGTAGCTTAGAACATGAAGTAAAGCTTGATGCTGCCTCCCAGCTACTATAAATAATTTTGTTTAATTGGCTGCACTTTTTAGGTATTTTTGTGACTTACCAAATTCTCAAAATGAATATTTATGCTTTTTAATTTTCTTCCTCTGTACATTGTACCGGAGAAGCGCAACTGTTGTCTTGTTGCCTGTGTTGCCTTATGCCCCACTGTGGCACAAGTCTGACTTCTTACTCTTTTTCACTCCCTTGTTCAGCACATATCCATTTAATGTGTCCTACCTTATGTTTTTCATGCGATTCCTCCCTGTTGTAGTAATCTCATTTCTGAGCTTGCTTACCTGTTGATTGTCTGAGGTCCAAAGTTTGGTTTTCTTAAAATTATAAGGACCAGAGTTTTCTTTCACTTCTTCCTATGCATATTCACCAACAGTGGGGTCTGTGCATGCTGAAAAGAAACACGTGTTGCACAATCGCTGATAGTGCATTTTGGCCAGCAGGAGTAGGAGGCTGTACTGCACCGTATCCTGGACATTGTCAGCCCATTTTTATGTATTCACTTACAAAACTCTTGGCTTGTGATTTTACCACGGTATATTCTGAGGGGCAGTTTTCCCGTTGCTCAAAACCTTTTCTTGATGCTCACTTCTTAAGTGTCTTTTCAAACTGTCTGGGTTTAAATAACACTAATCATTGCTGCTCTGATGATGTTGCGTGCTGCTGTGCATACAATACTTTCTACAACTATAAATACATATTTTTTGTAAAAATGAAATTTGAATGTCTCCTGGCAACAACATTCGTTTTCTGTTGTGTTTTTTCTCCTCTGTCACTTTCTAGCATACTGCCCTTTAAAAACTGCTGATCTCTGCAGAAGACTCCTGGGGTTTTTTTCTGGTTGTTGGGGATTTTTTTTGGTTTTTTGTTATTGTTGTTTTGCATTTGAGTCACCAAAACCAGTGACTTTAAGAACTATTAATTCTAAATTGAGCAGTCTTATTTTTGGTACAAATAACCTGGACACCCATGCTCCATAGATAGACACGGCCTTGATAGAAGCAAACACAGCTGCAACAAGATCACATACTGATAGTGCAGATGGGAGTGTGGCTTTTCATGCTCCTCAATCTATGGAAGCTTTCTAGCACAATATTTTAAGTGTTGCATGGCAAAACGTTAATCTTCAAGTTATTCTTTGAGCAGAGACTCTTTTTTTTTTTTTTTTTTTTTTTTTTTCATTTTCACAAAAAACCGGGGGACCCC